TTGGGATGATTGATGGAACAACAGAACTTGTAGAATTAACCAGCAAATTCTCTAAAAATAAAACAGTCTTAATATCAAAAATACTTTAAATAACATACCACAATTAATTCCTTCATATTCTGCTTGACATATGCATACAGTGTCCCCAGCAATTAACTGACATGTTCCACCATTAAAACAAATGTCATCAAAGCACTCATATATTACTATTAATCAATTATATTGAAATTTTGCACGTATCAAGAACTTTGTATTGTACCTGTTACATTGCATGATGTTCCATTATAACCTTCGGAACACAAACAGCTGTTATTACTCACACATGCTCCATTAATGCAAGGAGGGTCACAGGATACTATAACCATATACATATATACATCACTTAGTATTTATTCAATGCTTACTTGGCTGAAATATTTCTTCCAAAGCTTTTAGATCTTCTGTTGTGTCTCTAGTAGCCTCCCCAATATTCAAATCACCAGTAGCAGCAATATCAAACAGGCAGAGCTTGTCATCACCACACAACTACACAATGATCCATAACTACATTACACAACAACAATAGCCCACTAACTTGTAATGCCTCTTCTTCTAGCTCTAAATCATCAAATTTAGCTTCAAATAATGGAGTATAGTCTGGTTTGTAGTAAGTATTCCAACCACCAAACTGACTGTATGTAAAGATGCTATCAACAGGTTTATCAATAATCCCTACATTAAGGATGACATCTAATTGAAAATTTATAACCATTTAACATACATGTTAATCCAAATTCTTTATGAATAACTTCAATTGATGAATTAATAGAAATATGATATTCTCCATCTTTTGGATATAGATCATCGTTAAATTTACCATTATATTGACCAAGAAGACCATATGTTTTACCATAATAAATATGAGAGAGAGCTACAGATATATCAGACAGCATACCATTCCTTTCTTTTACAGTAAAAGTGAGTTGATCACTTAGTGTTGCAGTTAGTGTTGTATTGTCCCTCTTTATAATGGTAAGATTGTGATACTGATACTCTGAGAGTGAAGAAAAGTTGATAATATCTCCATTTACAAGTGCTATCAGTTCATCATCAGCCACTTCAAATTGTACAGTGTCTGATTCTTTGTGCCTTGCAGCTATTGCAGTAATAACAGTTCCTCCAACAGCAAGTGTGGTATTGCTTTCATTGCTAGTCTTGATTGGTGGCTCAGTCAATCGGACCTGAACTGTTAATAATTTGTCTGTTGATTCAACAAGTGTAAATTCTCCATGTCCATTAAAGGTATAGTTATAACCATCAAGAGTTACCAAATGAGGGTCACCAAACATTTGTGCTACAATAAGTATAGTTTAAAAACTTTAGTTAGTAATATTTTAAAATTAATAGGATTTTCAGCTTGGCATTGTAATAAATAAAGTGGGCAATTCAAACAGAAGAAACAAACTAATTGGATCACATGTATGGTACATGAATCTACCTGGTGGTGGTCTTTGAGGCCAATCAGCACAATTATCATTTGGCCTTCGATCATAATAATGCTTGCAAGATTTATATGAACCATAACAGCACAAATAGAAGGGCCCAATATCATTTAGTATATGGCCTATAATAATGTGTATTAGCTCTAAAGAAATACTATAGTTAACAATAATTTACCAATGGCTGATCTCCAGTTGTTAGGGTAGACACTATACGCTGTGCCTCCTCCAATGCCAGTGAGTAGTTGTCCATTAGCATCATAGCAACACTGTTGGCTATTGCTAAACAATCTACATGCATAAAACAATTAGATTTATATTCACATGATAGCATTTGCATACCCAATATTGGATTGTCTGTAGCAGCTTGTGGCTTGGCTCTTTTTAAAGTAATATTTACTCAAATAAAACTGAAATGGCTTCTCTTTTGTGTATCTATCTAAATCAATACTCATTTGTTCTAAATTACAAGGACAAGGAGGCAACAAGTTAATGTTGACACCACCATCTGTTCTCTGCCATATGTCACAAACAGCTCTTTTGAATATATCAGTAACAACAATTTTAATGATGAAAGTTAAACCAGAGCGAGATACCCTTATAAGGGCATCTGTTGGGAATGCTGACTGTTGCTGGTTCTCATTCATTGTACCATTAAGGGAAACTTTAATAATGGACAGTCTAAGTGCAGTCTGATCTAGTACTTCATAATCAGGTACAATCACCTCGGAGAGACCAGAATTGGGAACTGAAGTTTTAAGAGGAATGGGAGTCTCCCAAGAGTCTGTATTTGGATTATACAGTTGCTAAAAATGAATAGTAAATCTTATGCAATGAACTAGCTAGGAAACAAACCATTTTAATATCAACAGTGACATTAGATGTAGTTGTATCTTCTGTTAAATGAGTTGGTATCCATGAGACATTAAATTTTTGTCCAGTGACGAGGGGACTTTCTGGGCTAAATATTAGTACATCCTCGTCGATATCACTCAGGAATGGTACAACTGCACAAAAATTAATAATGAACAATTTAAGCATCAAATTATCATTTACTGTATCTGTATTTAGTAGCTCCAGTCAATATAGCAGAATCTCTTGTAATATTTATCACCAAAGTGACAATACCATCATTATATTGCTCTGGTGATATGCATAAACACTTTTCTGTAGTGACAAAGTAGCCAGGTGTTGCTATGTCACCAAATATACAGCTGATATCATCTTGGATCTCAAATTCTGGTCCTGAAATGAAGACTTGCTCTCCTCCAAAAACTTTTCCAAAATTTCTACTAGCATAAACTGGAAATGATCCTACATTAATGATGAATAAATCTCAGAACTATATATTATGTTGTCTATACCCTGACACTTGACTCCTGCTTCATTATAGTCACCACAACTTTTGACAGAATATGTTCCTCGAGGACAATCTAAAACTTTAAATTCAGATCCAGTGCATTCAAGGCCAGATACTAGTATTGGTTCAGAGCCTTTACCATAGTATGATCCATAGCGAGCTATTGCCTCTATTTAATAAATCAAAATTGTAATAAGAATTAGAGATGCTTTATACCTGATGGATAGTATCCCAATTGATCACACACTACATTAGCATCGGTTGTGCTCCATTCATCATCACACACACTTCCCCATGCTTTATTAATGCACACTTCTACTCTACCAGCAGTCGAACCAGCATCTGCAGGTCCTATTAGTCTCACTGAACCAGTAGTACAGTTACTATAGGTAACATTATCAACTATAATGAAAAGTAATGATAAAAATAATTGTGATTTTAGAGTGCATACTTTCTTGACATATTATTCCAGCATCATTTTGACAAAGAGAATTTATTCCTCCGTATGTAGCATTACAGTCATATATTGCCTCTTCAGTTCCATTGCAATTTAGTACATCAAGACTAGTTGGGATCAAAATATTTCTAAGTCCATGCGAAACAGCAATTGCACCTGTATGTAAAAAGTTAATGCACAATAAAGCAACTTTATTTACAAACCATATCGAGAAAATCCTTTCTGTCTACAGACAACAGAAGCTTCAATTTCAGTCCATGAAGAATCACAAATAGTACCCCATGTTTCATCAACACAAAAATCAACTCTTCCAAAAGAAGACAAGGAGCTTGTGTCACTTACAATACGAATGTCTCCACTGGTACACAGCTCTATAATAACATAGTAATGCGACACAAACAAAATAACATTTATTACCTTCACATTTTACTCCAGCAAGTCTTGTATTATCGCAATCTGAAAGTTGATACAGATCTCTGCCACAGGCTAGCAGAGAATTCTCCTCCAATGTACACTGAAGTCTAGTCAACATTATTGGTAAAAGCACTTTGACCATAACTAGATCCATCCATCGGTTCAGACCCTATATACATAAAGAATACAATTAAAAATTAATAAACTGATATACCGTAGGCTTGATGTCCTGCTACTTTACAGGCAACATTTGAATCTTGTACAGACCAACCATCATCACAAACAGTACCCCAAGCATTATTAACACATAATTCAACTCTTCCTTCGGTGGTCTCATGCCACCAATTAACCTTATTTCACCAGTTGTGCAACTTGAAAATGGAGTTTGTGGAACTATAAGTATAAAACATCCATTACTCATTACGTAAATATATTATGTTTACCTTGACAGACTACCCCAGCCTTGTTTTGACCACATTGTTCATATGAAACACCATACTGTGTATGCTGTGTAACACATTCCAATATACTGTCCTCCGTGCCTTCACATCTCACTCCATACAATCTCATGGGAAAATCGCTAAGTGCAATTGAACCATTGACTGCCAGTGATCCTATACAAAGCAATTAATAAGGGAGCCTTTGCATAAACTAAAATACCGTATGGTGATAATCCTATTTGCCTGCATACTACTTTAGCATCTCGGTCATCCCATTCTTCACCACAGACTGTACTCCATACTCCTCTAATGCATACCTCCACTTCACCAATAAGATAATTGGTGGATTCTTTTAAGCGAATTGTTCCATGCATACAACTACCTAAATAATAACAAATAATAAGCTTACAATAATCTATGAAATGCATGTACAGTTACTACTCTATATATAAGGCACATAAGTTATGTCAATATAAATTATAAGTTACTCCACTAGTTATACTCAATATTTTCACAGGTATCTGACCTAAACAATGAACTCCAGCAATATCATTATTGTTACAATTCAATAAGAAACTGTTTGGCTGTTTAGGGCAGTCAAGCAATGATTCCTCAGATCCTGAACAAGATAAACCACCAATAACAAATGAAGGATTCTCAGTGACTCCATAGTAATTATTAACATAGAACTGAGAGCCTATACACATCAGATATCAATATAACAAGTAATATGATATACCCCTACCAAAAGGTTGTAGACCTAGTTTATAACAAGCTACATTACTATCGTTGTTGTCCCAGTTTGCATCACATATTGAACCCCAAGCATTATTGTAGCATAACTGTACATTGCCATCATTCATTGTGTCTCCACCAATTAATCTGATATCACCATCAGCACAATTACCATACTGGGTAGTATTGGCTATAAATATATTAGTGAAATTAAAACAATTACTATTGTTGTATATTTACGCATGCAAAACACTGATGCATCATTGGATTGGGAGCACTTCTCTCCATTGGTATCATCTCTTGTGTAATGCATACAACGCCACAGCACCTTCTCATACCCAGTACAGTTTAACAAATAAATTCCAATTGGCCATTCATAGTTAATGTGCACATCAGAAGCAGCCAGTGCACCTACATGTATTTCTCAGTCAAAATAGCAATATAATACTGACTTTATTGTACCATATTTCGAGTATCCTAGCTGAAAACAAATAACAGAAGCTTCCTTTTGTGACCAATTACTAGTACATATTGTAGACCATATTTCATTCATACAGACTTCCACTCTTCCTTTTAGCTCAGATTCATCACCCAATCTAATATCACCATTAGTACAATTACCTTATTAAAGACTTTTAAAACAAGTAAAATAGTGTATTTACTAACGTTCACAAGTGACTCCAGCATCACTGTAATGTGAGCAACTAAATATGTCACATGATCTGTGACTGCATTCTAGTATGGACTCTTCAGAACCACTACAATCAACACTGGCCATTAATATAGGACCTGCTCCTGGACCATACTGGCTGTTAATTCTTGCTTTCCCTCCTATATTGTAAAATATTAACACATCCTTATTAATTATTTTATAAACCGAATGGTAGATATCCAAGCTGTTTACAAATGACATTGGCATCTTCATTACTCCAGCCAATAGAACAGATGGTACCCCAAACTTGATTGACACACACCTCAACCCGTCCTTCATGAGGGCCACTACCATCAACCAGTCTTAATTCACCATCAGTACAATTAGATACCACCACAGTTTCTGTATAAATAAAGAAAATTATTAATAAAGCATAATACTGACTGACCTTGACAAATTACTCCAGCATCATTATGTGACTCACAGTTGTACAAAGCAGGGCCATTGTGTGTACAATTTAGAATGTGATTTTCTGAGCCAGTACAGTCAATACTTGTAATACCAAATAAAAGCTGTCCTTCAGTAAAACAGTTGTACATTGGCATAGCCCCTAATGAGGAAATTAGTGTAACAGTAGTATATGCATTGCATACCATATGAAGAGTATCCTAATTGCCTACATATCACTGCAGCATCTTTTAAATCCCATGTTTTATCACAAAGTGTAGTCCACGTTCTTTCAACACACAGTTCAATGCGACCAACCCAATCCATTGACGAACCACTTAGCCTTACTTCATTATCAGTACAAGGCTCTACATATTATTATATTTTTCATTCAATCAATTAACTAACCTTGGCATATTACACCTGCTGCATAATAAGGGGCACATTGTCTAGCTGCTTCAGGTAGCCACCATGATCACATTCTAGCAATGAATCTTCA